GCCAATTGTAGAAATCCTGTTAAAAAGAAAAAAAAGTTTAAACCAATTTAACAAAAACAGAAGGGGAGGAAGAAAAGCACACAACCTACACTAGGCTTGAACATGCAGGAAAATAGATGTAGAGGTAGTTTATACAATTCCAGGAAGCTGCATCTTACCAGAAACAGCACATAATCTTGGCAAGAACAGAGTGAAAGGGGACTTGTGCTCCTAATGTCACAATAGCAGGACCTCTTGAAATGAAAGTTCTGTGTGATTTGGCATACTACACACATCATCTCTCCCCACATTGTGATTTAACACCTGTGTAGTCCGTATTTTTTAAATGAGATATTTGCATATAGCCCCCACTTCAAGCCTTAGGCCACATAAGAATGGGGCAGCAAGGTCTGTAAGGAGTAGCATTATACAATGGTTATAAAACTAAAAATCACAGTATGTTCTAGTATTAACACAGCACTGAAAATATGGTCTCTAAACTGAGATAATACAATGCAGTGTTGGCCTAACTTGGTACCACATTCCCTTGACATGGTCAGCGTGCTGCAGAACTGGATGGTTACCAACTCTGCTAACCCACAATGGTCCGTGTTGTTACTGATAAAACCCTCCCAAGTTCCACCTCAGATCCAGCTGTGTTCTGCTGCAATTCACATCTGGTAAAACTCTTGACAGTCCCAGACACAGGCATTTCCTTTTTTTTGCATTTTTCACATCTAAAATGCAGTGCTACTCCTCATCATTCAGAGATACTGCATCAGTGTCCCACAGCCACCCTGGCACACACAGTGACTCAATGTTCCAACTGTAAAGCTTAGCAGTCTGTTCTTGAGGGAACAGTCATCACTAGAGGAAGGGCTGAATATCCAGAGCTGAAATACCATTAAGTAATTGTATTTACATAAGTAATAGATACACCAGTGTCATCCAAAATTAAACCAAACTCAGCTGGAAAAAAATAACATGATTGCATCACTACATACAAAATTCTTGAGCCTACGTGAACTTTATAATATTTTACCAAATCTAGGCTGTTTTTCAGAATACCCCAGATTTATCAAACACAGGCATTCCATTTCCTTTATAGATTAAACAGGTATAGAATGAGCTGACTGACAGGGTTGTGTAATGATTGTACCTTGTGACAAAGCACAGGAGAAAACAAATACATTTTCCTACAACATTATGTCATGCACTGCTCCATTTTTGACCTGAGCCCTTCTCACAGAAGCAAGAGTGAGAAAGTCTTGCACAAAGGCCTCAGCGAAGATTATTTGATCTCTGAAGGAATCTAAAAAACGCAGCTGATGTGTTTGAGATGGAGCTCTTCCAGACGACCTTGGAAGCCCAGAAGGAGCTGCATGCTGATCACAAGCAGCCACCTGAGAGCTGCCCCGGAGGAGGCGCGTTATGCAAGGGAAGGATGACTGATCCCTCCAGATGAACAGGGCAGGTATCGCCTCTGACGACGCAGAACTCCCAGCCCAAGCCTATTCATGTGATGTCACGGTGATCTCACTCGGCTGACGATGTGTTTAGTGTGTTAATACACTGTCACGGATGAGAATAAGAGCCCGGCCCCTGAAGAAAGGCAAAGCCCTGGGAAGAGGCACCTTCCCTCTGTTCACACCCGATGACCTCACGAGTGGATGTCCCGGCCGCGCACCCCGGTGACAGCCCGACCCCGCAGCCGGCACGACCTGCCCTCCAGAGCCCGAGCACGGGCACCCCCGGGGCCCACGGCGCTCGGCCC